ATTTTTTTTATTTACCTTTATTTGATCCGAAAGTATCGTAGTTTCATGTTCGTAGTTGTTGTGCGCAATCCATCGTTTCCATTCATGGCCCCTTTCCTTCGAGGCTCTGGGGCATGGTGATACACATCGGATTGGGCAGAGGGTCAGGGATCGATCAATGGTCGGATGTTGATCATCATCATCATCATCATCCTTATAATATCCCTACACTGATTCATCATCCAATACACACATACCCAAAAAAAATCAATAAAACTTGGGGGAATGGGTTGGACGGAACGGACATAATGTGCATTTTAGCGTTGTCGGGCCTGATCTTCACCTCCGCTTGCTCACTCCATCCCCTCCTTCTCCTTCATCTGTTTTTTTTTTTTTGTGGTTGTTTGAAATACATTCGATTTCTTGATTGTGTATGCTACGGTGTAGAATACAAGAATACATTGACCCCATCACCTACAACACACTTGACGTTAAAAAAATGTTCTTGATCATAATGCAGATGACTTTGTGGTAAGAATCAATACCGCGTTTCCCGCGGCTTACGTCATGGGGTTGTAGTGTAGTGGCTATCACGCGTCATTTGCAATCGCACCACCGTGGTGTGTGTTCGATGGAATCTTGACGAGGTCCCGGGTTCAATCCCCGGCGACTCCATGTTTTTTTGCTTTTTTTTTCTTCGGGTCTAAAAATCCCTCCAACGAAGAGAATGTTTTTTTCTCCCTCGTCAGTTAAAAAAAAAAAAAGAGTGCAAACAAAATGCACTCTTTTTGACGCGGGAAACTAGAGTCGCACGAGTAGAAAGAAGCAGCAGACAAAGTCTGCGATGGAATTGGGGGTAAACTTGAAAGGACCTCGATCTCTCCAGCGACTCGATTGATAAGGCTCGCGTCGGTTCTCGTCGCTCGATGAGGGAAAGAAAACCTCTTTGTGGTTGGTTGGAGGAGGAAGGATAATTATGTACAACTTGGGCCTTGGTTGTCACTACTCCAGCTCGGCCATCGGAGTTCAATGAAATGTGCTATGTTTAACGGTTCCCGGAGACGACGTAGTACCCTCCTGGAATTGCGAGCGCAAGTTATCGTCCTCGCGCCCAGATCGGGCTGCAAGCGACGCTTCCTCAGTCTCTTGGAGTCGGAGGTCAACTACCGACCACTGGATCCGTAAGTTGTATATTGCTTACGACAGGGGTTTTGATCTGGACGTAAAATTGTAAACCACCCTCCTCAAGGCTCAGTGTGCGTATATACCACTGACTGTAATTCCGTCCGCGGCCTCTGCCAGACGCTTGCAATATTTTTGAGGATTCAGGAGACACTCTTGGAGGATTGGAAACCGGGTACTGCTATCCTATGAAACATCAAAAAGTGCCTCCTCGGTAGCATGGTGTATTGCTTTCTGGGGCCGTCACTGCCTTTTCAGCTGACAGACAGGACCGCCCCATGAACTCGAGGGCAATGCTATAAAAAGACTACTCTATCAGTCTTGTTTTCGGCCGGTCATCCCGCCTCATATATACCATTAAAAACGAATTGTAAATATATCATCGATATATCAAAAAAGCCCCTAGATAATATTAATATCACTTGTCTTCAACAAAAACAAATCGACCGTGTATTCCCTAGCTACCCTTTGTGACTCGCAAAAAAAAACAACAACAATGAAGTTCGCAATCAGTTTGGTTTTAGCTTCGACGATGCTCGTTTCAGTTCAAAGTGATAAGCCCAGTTTGGCCTCCTTTCCATGCGGGGCTGATCCGAAAAAGACACTAGGAACGTGTGTGCTCAAAACCAAGGACACGATTCCCATCTACTATTGTAAGTCTTTCTTGCCAGTCCTTTGCTCTACTTTTTTTTTGAAAAAAGTATCAATCGTTGTGGATGGCCGGATGGTAATTGACGTCAGTTCTCGATTCTATTTGCTGTTTGGTAGTTGCACCTGCCACTATCAACAATGATATGTTCACCTGCACGGGGGTGCTCGTCAATAAGAAGAACCCGACTGATCCAGCCTGTTGTCTTCCAGGCACTGGTCCAGCCAAGCCTCCCGTTCGTCAAATCACACCACTAGGTCAAATGTGTTATAAGAAACTAATTTTCCTGGCTCCCCTTGACAATCCCTTCTAACAGAATGCACTTGGTGGCGACGCTACTTATGGACCGACTGATCCAAGTACCATGGGAGTGGTCGAAACAGAATACAATAAGAACTGTACAGCTCCTGTCGCTAAGGATCGCGGCAGCTCCTGATGGGTCGGAATCGACCCCGATAATTGTTGTTCGTTGCAGTCTCCCCAGCTGTCTTTTCTCGAGATTTTTGGCAAATCCCACCCGGAGTTTTACTATTCCCTTTGTACAAAAAAATACTGCTTCGTTTCTCAAGTCATCAATTTGTACATCTGCCCAGAAATGGACTTTCATCATCACCATTTCTAATCTCACTTCCCACGCTGATCATCAAGATAAGCCTTGTGAATATGACATGTGAGAGAGACAGTGGTGGCACATATATTGCGTTGCAAACTTGAGGAACAAGTGTCCACTCGGTTTTGCCAACACTTTCTTGCAGTGAAGAAACAATATATTGTACCACAATCAAAATTCCGACTTGAATTGGGACATTTTTGTGCTTACAGGTGATCCTGATGATCACGAGAAAAGAGTTTGAAAAGCCTCGCTTGAGTAAAGTGGTACTACTCTAGAGGTCTGATTTGAACTGCACACATGTTTAGAATCTTGAACAACCAGGTGCCCTGTGATTGTTTTTGATCTAGGCTGTTTAAAATTTGTAGTTTATCAAGATTGTTTTGATTTCCAAGGACGCAAATGGATTGACAAAGAACATTGTGCCAGCGACGTGCCAAGAAGCGTCACATAGGTCCGGTGGTACTTTGACTGACCTCTGACGAAATCCAAGCTTTGCTAGCGTAAGGATTATGTAGCAATGGCACCAACATGAACCGATCGGTCGTCTTTTTGAAGCTTCCAAGAAACCGAGAAAGCATTGGTTGTCTGATTCCAGAAGGAGTCCAATGAATACCATAAACATTGCATGGACACGAGTTGTGATACCTTTTAGAACCAGACGTCACCTCCTGCCTAGAGATGAACTTGAATTGCCACAGGCAGTGAAATGATGATGTGACGCCAGGCCCCATCCAGATGTACAAATTTACATCGCCAGGGACAAACTTAACAAGCATCCTCACAACATGATTGCTGACGGAACACTTATGAGTTATGGTGACCGTATCCAACTGGGTCTGAACAAACGCTTTCAGCACAAGTCACAAATACTTGCCTCGGTACTCATGGCCACCTAACATTAATATCAGTTGTCATTTGAAACCAGCTTCAACGAGGGTGCAGTCTGAATTTTCTGGTTTACTTGGTCATCCCAGATGAAGAAATCCAATTGTTGTAGCAACAGTTGTACATTGATCGGGTCACATGACATCCGGGAACAACTTTTTTAAGAAAAAAAAAAATAGTATGACTCTTTGATTACATGAAACCGTTCATAGGTCTCCCCTTGGAAATTGGAAAGCACCAATTTATTTGCTATGAGACGCGAAAAGTAATTTCTCAGCAGTCAGGTGCATTGTTTTCAGGCCGTTGCTACTTGTTAAGCTGGTATATTGTAGATATGTTCTAGAGGGAGACGCTTGCCACGGCTATTAAAGAGCAGCATTAATCGAGATGATTTCAGGTGTCATCTCATTCTCACCTCACTCCATTTGCTGACCACAACGTGTCTATATATCATTGCTTGAAATCACCACAAACGCTTCAACACCCTTACAGAATTTTCCTTTAGCTTGCTATCTCGATACCGCTATCGTTCCCAATTTGAAAAAATGAATTGCATACTTAGATTGTTTGTAGCTTTAACGATGGTCATCGCAGTCCAGAGCGCTACCGGTGGCTCTGACCAAGGGTTTACCTGCAAGAAAAACCAGCGCCAACCAGAGGCCATTTGCTTTGTTCAAAAAGATGACGCAGGCACTTCCAAATACTATGGTTTGTGGTTCTTGCTATAATCCAATGTTCAAATATTTCATTTATGGTCAATAGCGTGGTGGTTGATGTTTCTTCTTTTTCCTTCTTTTCTGCTGGATAGTTGCACGGGCCCCTTACAATAGTGCCTATGACAGGTATTCCTGTGACGGTGCGAAGATCAAAGGAACAACTGTGCAAGGTAACGGCTGTTGCAATCCCGGCACTTTGCCCAAGGTTTGTCTTAAGCACTATTTCACTTAAGCCTCCATTGCAGACTAACGCTCATTTCTTTACTCGTTGTGCAATATTTTATAAGGTTGACCGAATGGCATTAGATCCAAGCATTTCACCTCCGCTTCCTGGAATGACCAAAGAGAAATACAAGAGTGTCTGTGGAAAGGCAGATGATCCTGCTCCAAGTTCCACAACCAAAGCAAACCCTTGATGTCATCCTGAAAGCTGTCCCACTCTTGAGGCTTCCATCTACTGAAAAAAACTGCAAGTGGGAAGCTAGGTTTTTTTTTTCACTTCATCAGTTCCACATCTTTTTGAATGAGGGCTGATGTCTTTTGATGGAAGAACAATTTTTTTTTCTTGCTTTTTTCTGCACTGTGTAAAGACATTTGTACTTAATTGGAATTATAAGTTTGGCGGACTATTAACAAGTTAAACCTTTAAACAACAAACCTAGCCCCCCTTGCACTTTAACCAGGTATTGCAATGTGCAATGTTGTAAGAGACATCAAGTCCTCACTCAACCTGAGCGCTGTGGTGGTGAGAGCGGGTTGGGGCCAAAGCTTTGGCTGAATTGTTTGGATGGGTGCGGAAAGCATGCGGAGCTGATGCTACATGCGCGGGCTGAGGAAAGCATAGACACTGTGGTAAGACCAATCAGGGTCATATATAGTACAAAATAGCTATTTATAGTAGTTTTCATGACATTACAATCAGATATGCATATGCTACATGACCCTTTATCTTGTATCCAGTCCAGAAAATTATAAAATAGTAGCTTTACACTCATTTGGTTACATAATATATGGTACTACATAGCTACAACTTACTACATAGCACACATCTCAAGATACAAATCAGTCCTTCCACAGTACATTCCTTCTTTCCCATGATAATAACCTTTCAGTAAATATTATTTAGTTCATCTCAGATACCACTGAGTCAGACTACATATAATATTTCATCCCATACATCTGCTTTCTCATCCATATATTGTTATCTCATCTCACTCACCATCCACTTCTGTTCATACATCAATTATTTCATACTAAATTTATTTTATTCTACATTTATTTTATTCTACATTTATTTAATCATACTACAAGTATTTCATATATTACATTCCATTTCAACTCATTACACATTGCTTATATCACCTACATTCTCATCCAGTCTCACTTTTATTTCAACTCATTACTAATTGATTATATCACCAACATTCTCATACTGTCTTACACTTCATTTCAACTCATTACTGATTGCTTATATCACCCACATATATATTTCACCACAGATTTCTTATTTCATTTCAGAATATTTATTTCAGTTTCTTATTATCTCAGCTTCTCTCACTACATATCATTTTGATCACAAACATAAATTATGTCATATTGTCTCATTTCAACAATATTTATTTCATACTACCCATTTGTCAGCCACATTTATTTCATAGTCACTTTTCTTTCAGATACAACTTATTTCATACCATATTATCATTTCAGCTGATATCTTACCACTAGTACCTGATCAGAACCACCCACATGTATATAGAGAATACACTTTCCCACTTACTTTTTTCCCCATGCTTGCATTAGAGAAGTAAACAGATAATTACTTAGCAGACATCACTTACTAGTAGTTACCAGAAGTAATTATTATTGATTTTCCCCAGAAGATAAGAAATTGGACCCAGAAGCCATTATACCCCAGAGCCTCATCCTTAACAAAATCCCCCACATCCTCACACTCTCAACAGGTGCCTCGTAGTACAAGACATCAGTAATAAACCTCATACTAAGATTACCCACAGAAATAGCCACACCTTTTCTTTATTTCTTAGTGTAACTCTCTCACAAGCCTTGACAAGAAGGCAGCTTCATCAGCATCCAAGTCTTCAACTCACATTTACCCCTGTGTAGTTGTTCTTTTCCCCTCTAAGAGCAACTCCACTGGGGCCGCTAATTTTGGGCCGCTAAAAATTGGTCTTCAGCACTCCGCAGCAGGTTTTACAGACTCAAACTGCTGAGGCATACAAAATCTATGAAAGGCAGTTACCCGTCAATAGCCCCTGAATCTCCCCCTGATCCCCCAACAACATCAAGCCTATCTCTTTGGCTGGCTACACCATTGAGATATTTTTCAGTAATCATGCATCATCTGGTAATCATTTGGAATTTTGTCAACACACAAAATTCAATAATTTCCAACTCAATTCAGTCAGCGCAGCAGATATCGGTCGTTCTTCAAGGTGGAGCTGCAGCTGCTCAAGAAATCCTCTGACAAGAAAGGAAAAGACAAGAAGCAAAACCACCAAAAAGGGGTGGATCAAGAAAAAGAAGAGCACCAAATCTTTGCCAAGAATTTGATGGAGGCTACCAGCGATTATACAAGGATTAGTTTGATGAATTGGCTATCTACACTGACTATCAATTTCGCCGGCGGTTCAGGATGCAAAAAGGCCTTTTCTTGAAGATAGTTAATGATACCTACTTTACTCACAGGGCCAATGCGTTGGGTAATCTAGGTTTAAAAGGAATTCAAAAGATCACGGCATCCCTCCGAATCTTGGCGTATGGTGTGTCAACTCCTGTCTCTTGTGTGACTAGGAGTTGATGGTGATATGGGTCACACTATTGTTGTTTACACAACGTAGTGGAAAAGGGTCGCACTATTGTTGATTAATCAACGTAGTGGAATTAACCTCTTCAGTATACTAGAGTATGTGAAGGGCTGCTCCTTATTGTTATAAGGGACGACAGCAGAACAACTTTGCTGCGCCAGGCTTAAGAGAAGAGAGAAACAGTTACTAGTCTAGTTACAAAGGTTAACCGTAACAGACTAGTACTAATTAAAAGGAATAGAGTACTATGTAATATAAAGTATACTAGATTATAAACCCCACTCACTTATTATACTGGTTGTAAATAGGTAAGGATAGCGG